CTATTCGCTCCGAGCCGATACAGAGGTTGCGCCCCCTCTAGCCAAAATCAGGCAACATTTCTTGCATGTAAACAAACGGTTTAGAACATATATACATACGTACAGCTGCTTGTGATTGGCACTTGGCAAGCTAGAGAGAGAACGACGATCCCTCTCCTGCTGTCTTATTCAGCCAATCACAAGCAGCTATACGTATGTATATATGTTCTAAACCGTTTGTTTACATGCAAGAAATGTTGCCTGATTTTGGCTAGAGGGGGCGCAACCTCTGTATCGGCTCGGAGCGAATAGATGCATAAAAAATATACTTCTGTTTGTATCATACTTTAATTACCCTATGATTAAATGAATAATAAACATTTCGCATGATCAACTTTTTAACATTTATATTAAATATTCAAAAATATAAAATAACATCACATGACTGATAACTGTTTTTTTTTATCTATGTTGGGTTTTGATTAAATTTTACAGAGTAACCACCAGTATTATCATCTTTTTGCATTTGAAAGTTATTTGTGGACAGTCCAAAAGGCTTAAGAATAACATTACCAAGGTCCTTTAATTTGTCTAACATTTCTGCCATTTGTTTTTGATTTCTGTCATTGATCATGACAGTTAGTTTCTGTAAAATAAGAAATTTTTAATGACATTTTAACTGTTGTAATTAATTGTAGGTACAACATCAGCACTTACATTAATGTTATTGATGATATCTTTGTTCATTGGGTCAATATCTTGTGCTTTCTTGTAATCTGCAAGAGCCTCATCAAGTTTCTCTGTATCCTCGTAATAACGAGCTCTCCTTAGACTAGCTTTCACATAACTTGGATCTGTTTCAATGGCTTTTGTGCAATCTTTTATAGCCATCTCTTTCTGTTCCTGAATTCAAATGAAAATCCGGTTGAAATACCATTATTTGAGTAAATTGAAACTTAATAGCTACAACATCACATACCAACTGTACCCTTGCAGCTGCTCTATTGGCATACAGTATAGCCCTCTCTCTTTGAAACTTCATTGGACAAGTCTTTAAGCCCTCCGTGTAAACAGCCACAGCCTCCTTAAACTCACTATTCTGAAATAACTTGTTACCCCTAGCCTTAATACTGTCGGCCTCTTTCTTCAGTTTGAACAAATCATCCTCGATGAGATCACTGTCCCTATTCTTTACAACTTCTTCGTCGACATAAAACTCATCAGGCTCCTCTTCTGGTACATGTTCCTTGGTAACCTCACTCTTGGAACCCTTATCCTCTTCTCCAGTCCAGGGTTCTCCTGTCACAGCGTCGAAGAACTTTTCCTCGCATTTTTCGTTATCATTTGTGACACACTCATTTTCCAAACCCTTTGTCAACTCATCGATAACCTCCTCATTTGAAGGCACTTTATCTGTCATTTTTGAGACACGCTTTAAATGCTATACTTTACACTCTAAACTTTACAGCATCACTGCATCAGATTCAAATTCTGATGACTTTATTTGTTACTCTCGGTTAACGCCAGAGATTCTGGTAAATGCGGGTGTGAGGCTATTGTCAATCAACTAATTTATTTAATAGAGAGCGCGGGGGACGCCGGGGGGATATGTAGCAGACGGTTGTATCCTGGTATGGTTGTCGGCCGAATATATATAGGTATAGTAGTCTGCAGCCAGCTGCTGCAGCACTCTTTTGGGCTGTTGGAGAGAGTCTCTTTTTTTTTCTCGACGAAAAAGGAGTCAAGTTTTTAGACCCTGGAGACAAAGGTTGATGGCCTGTGGATTGTGTAAGGTTCAATAATTCACGGGTCGACAAAAGCGCACGCAGGTCTTTTGCGTCTGCTGTGCGCCCAATTGGTGATTTTTAAGGTTAAGCGTCCTATTGCGGATTAGTGTTTTGCTCCGAAATATATTTCTCGACTGTACCGTATACTTATACTTGGTGAATAGCCAAGGTTAAACGTGAGTAAAATTTTTACGGGTGACTAGAGATCGCTGAGCTGAATAGTTTTTCAAGTATTGGGTATTGCTTTTTCATAGAATTATGGCACTGCACAGTGGACCGCCCAAGAGAAAAGAAATCTACAAGTACGAAGCTCCATGGCCTCTTTACAGCATGAACTGGTCTGTCAGACCTGACAAGAGGTTCAGGCTTGCTCTTGGCAGCTTCGTCGAGGAATACAACAACAAGGTTCAGATTGTTCTGCTAGATGAGGATAATGCTGTGTTTGTGGCCAAGAGTACATTTGATCATCCCTATCCTACTACCAAAATTATGTGGATTCCGGACAGTAAAGGTTCGTATTTGTACCTATGTGGTTTCATTATTAGTCTTGTGTCATTCACGATTGTATCGTATTTTTTTTTTGTAGGTTTGTACCCTGATCTTTTAGCCACTTCTGGTGACTATTTGAGAGTGTGGAGAGCTGGGGAACCAGAGACAAGGATGGAGTGTGTACTGAACAATAATAAAAATTCAGACTTCTGTGCACCTCTAACCTCGTTCGATTGGAATGAGGTTGATCCCAATTTGATTGGGACATCAAGCATCGATACAACATGCACAATTTGGGGCCTTGAAACTGGCCAAGTTCTTGGTCGAGTCAACATGGTCACTGGTCATGTTAAGACACAGGTACTTGACAAAGATCATATTTATATACCTGGACATGTACTGTTGAATTTGAATTTAATTGAATTTTACGTTGTTGCAGCTAATTGCTCATGATAAAGAAGTGTACGACATAGCGTTCAGTCGAGCGGGTGGTGGCCGAGACATGTTTGCTTCTGTTGGAGCAGATGGGTCTGTTAGAATGTTCGACTTGCGACATCTCGAACACTCTACGATCATATACGAGGATCCTCAGCACACGCCTCTCCTAAGACTCGCATGGAACAAGCAAGATCCTAATTACTTGGCCACCGTAGCTATGGATGCTTGCGAAGTCATCATTTTGGATGTCAGAGTTCCCTGCACACCTGTTGCCAGATTAAACAATCACAGGTAAGATGGAGCATTTTAATGTGTGCATTACATTGTAGTGGTTTGTAAAAAAATGATCTTTGTGGTACTTTTTTTCAACAGAGCAAGTGTAAATGGTATTGCCTGGGCACCACACTCCTCGTGCCACATTTGTACTGCTGGCGACGACCATCAGGCACTAATTTGGGATATACAACAGATGCCAAGGGCCATTGAAGATCCGATTCTTGCTTACACAGCCGCGGAAGGTGAGGTCAATCAGATTCAGTGGGGTGCTACGCAACCTGATTGGATTGCAATTTGTTACAACAAAGCTGCCGAAATTCTTCGAGTATGAAGCTGTGGTTTTTGGGACTCTCTGGCAAGGACTATTTTTACTCTTTTTGAGCACTGGCTCAATAAATTCATGGACTGTGATTCGTGGTACTGACTGAGTAATAAATGGTGAAGAGCCTCTTTTTTTTAGAATTACTGACCAAAAGAAACGATATCGCGTAAGTGCAAGATATTTTTAATCCGTATGCAAATGATTCATCTGCGAAAACTAGTATTATTTATTTAAATTCTTACGTATATTATTCTTTTAATTTAATCCTGCGATTTTTTGATATTCTGTGGTATTTAAGAGATAAAAGATAAAATAAAATTATTCAAGAATGAAGCGACCGGATCTGCATACACACGTTCGATCCGTTTGTTTTTCTGAATTAGACATAATTTTTTCATAAACTACCACATCATAACTTTGTTGTTATCTCCTCATCAACTATGGTTTAAAAATAAGTTATCCTGACATTATTTATTGTTAGATCTAGTAAAACAATTTAGCACCTTATCTCTACGTCGTGTTACGAAAGTCATATTGAAATCCATGTCTCCAATTTAAAACATGTTATAATACGACATTCTACTCAATCGGTAATAAATAGAAAAATCGATCACTTGAAAATCACAAAAAAATCTAAATGTTATTGGACTGAAATTTTATAAAAGTTTTATATTTACAACTTTGAAAATTTTACAGAGATTTTCTAACTAGAAGACTTGAAAGTTGATTTTTATAACAGCCATGTGTACCTTACATAGACTTTTCTAATTTTTTTTTTTTTTTTTTTTTTTTTACATAAGCTATACACATATTACTGACGATCGATATTAAAAACAATATTAATTACAATAACGCCGTACCGTTTCTTATGTACGACACCTGTATAAACTTCTCTCCGTCTCAACACTTTTCACCCTCACTTGTTCGAAATTGTTTATAACTGGGTATCTCTTTGAATATGTATACGTTATGAATATTTCTCTGTGTATATTGATTTATATTAGTAAGCAAAAACAAATGTAAAAAATTTCACCAGATATTATTCCAAGCTATTGATTTTTGGATGTCATGACTACATTTGTATTTGACTTCGTTTGCTATTTGCTCTTTTACATATCTATATACTGAATAACGTTTTGTAATGCAGATGTCAATGGATGTATATGTACAACTTTTAGAAAATAATGTGATTTTGACTGGCGAATACAATCAACAAACAATTAGATGTCAGCGATGAAAATTATATATAATTGCGTGACCTTTTTACCAATGAATTTTGTAAACGATGCATATTTTGTTGATTCTTGTGTTGTTCGTATAATATAATATCATATCATCAGACCCATCAAAGTTCAAACTCGTTTGTGTATGTTTTCTCTGAATTTAGATGAGAAATGTTTAGTCATAGATAGATAACTTTTATAGTTGTGTGCAATGTATTAGAAATTAAGTTTCTCTACTAGATATTACAATATAATTAAAGTTTAAATTCCAGCTGAGTATAAAAAAAACAATATACGATAAATCGCGAATTCATCTAAATAAAAAATATCTACTTGTATATAAAACACCTGTACACCTTTCCTGCCTGTAAGCTTACTCGAGAGCTATGTATTCTTGCGCTCTTTTTTTTTTTAACACTCATCGGCACGTTTGATGCAACTTAAAGTACTTACCTTCTTACAAGTTGCATGGCAAAGTTTGTATTCTTCTTTTGCATAACAGCACGCATCAACGCTTGTAAAATGTAACGCATCAGCCAGTGTTCTCACTGTACGGACAGCATAATGCCGTATCGGTTGAGTTTGTCAGTTTGTGGTGAAAATAAGTACCTCAGTGCAGTTGTGAGGATGTACAAAAAAAAGCACGAAATACAGCTCAGGTGCGTGCGAAATGCATTTTCATTGCATGGTTTACATTATTATATTCAGGAATGAAAGCAACGAATGCCGTACGTGTCCGAAAGAATTTTACTACTCATTTTCATCACTATAAATACGTAAATCTTTGTATGTCTGTATTTATATCTATATATATGTATGTAGTTACTTAATATCGCGCTCGCAAAAATTACCAACTCAACAATTTTCACTCGACTGCAGGTTCACGTTTTTTTGCGGGCGTAAATTACTTTTTTATTCTCGTACACATGTATATACTTTTAACTATACTATACACCTGACTTTAAACAACCTTACTATAAACATAACTCTTCTGTATACACTATACTGTGTGATGAAATTTCCAAAACTCCGTTCTTCTTGTCTTGACACGAGTGAAAAAAAAAAAAAAATGAAATTCTTATTGACGTTACCTATGTAATGCATACGTAATGAATGTACCGAGAAAAAAGTATTATCCTCGTTTCCTTTAAAATGATGACAATGAACATTATAAATGTATTTTTATACACCTGTTCGTCGAAGGCTTGAAAGATCCTCCCCCTTGAAGCAACTCGTATAACATTTGTTGAACCAAAAACTGCATTTTTTTGCTGTCTATCACTTTGTTTGACGATAAAAATGTATATCGCCACCTTCTTTGCCCCCTACCTCCTACTGTTTACAAAAATAAAATCCAAGCTCGCCGGCTTGCTTCTCTCGGTCACATTTTCAAGAGAATATCGATGTTTGTCTCTATAACATATATATGTATACGTATACCCTCTTTCCTTTGTTTAGAGAGCCTTATTCAACCATTTGTTACATCACTTTTTTTTTTTTTTTTTATTCAAAGTGATTGTCTTCTCATCCCCTGGTAGAAATTTAAGTCTAAAAATAAGTATAAATGTCTTTTTCACCGTTACGTGTAGTACACGGATGTAATATTACGCAACCATGGAAATAAATTTCTACCAGAGAATGCCTACCATTGCCGAATGCTCCATATTTTTGAAAATCAAATGATTCCCAAATATTGTACGTGCAATGTGATTCCTACCACCATGAATATCCAAGTTGTACCGACTTCAACCCAAAACGCGATCTCGGTAGAAAAAAAAAAAAAAAAAAAANCAGGTGACACCTGTCCCGGCTTTTAATAGCACCTTCCTCCCCGAGAGACGAATGATCGGTGATGGTTAATGTACGAAAGAGGAGGACTCGTTTGTTCGCCTTCGTCTTTAGAACCGTATATGCCGCAGCCCAAGTATATATGATATGTACCTATACTCTATTGATTAAGGGATCCATCAATCCCCCCCGAGAGTTGTGAATATAATCATAGCTCCTCTTCGCGAGATGGGGAAAAAAGTTTGGTGTACGCGTGCATTGATCTTTATAACGTGCTCGCGGCTTATCTTAATTGAGGCATCTTTATGTCATGCGCGCGGTAAACTAGTTTGTGTTTTTTTCGTCGCGCGTTGACTTACGCATACGATAGATCATATGTGCGCGTGTAAGACTCCGATAGGTCCATCGATTGATGAACAGTTGCGAAAATGACATATTCCTTATTGGTACACGTATATATACATATATGTATAGTTGGGTGTTTACGTGACTTTGATTTGATGGCGAGAGGCAAAAAGGGGATGGGGCGATATCACGTGCATGAATTATGCAGGGAGTCGTTAAATCGAGATATCCAGGGTGCGTTTAGCGGCGCGTTTTAATTTTAGGTGTCTAGTATTTCAGGCGTGCGGCTTTGGAATTAATTGTGAAATATGGATACGGCACAAAAAGAAATCATTTCCTGCTTAAAATCGGTAGCCGATCGGTAGCAGTGCCCGTACATCGGTCGATCTTGGAGACTCGCTGTACCTATATACGTTATATTTTATGCAATACAAATAACATCTGAAAGTGTAAAGAGAGGATATTTTAATACGTCCGTTTGATTGCATTGTGTTGTAAAGTATTACCCTGATTTCCAGTGACGATCATGAGAAATTTCAAATAAAAACTGTTACTTCAAAACAAAAAATTTCTTCTATTCTGATTGGACTAAATTACAGTAGAAAAATTTTAAATAGTTCAAAAAAAGTGTGTTAAACTGCATATAATTGATGTTTACGCATTTTAGAGGCATGTAGAAGATAAAAGAAATTTTTGGCCCGAAGGTGTGCCTCGTAGAAAAAAAGTTTTATTTATTTATTTTTGTAGTTATCTTAATTGTAGTTCGTTATAAAAATGTATTTATACCCAAATCATCCAGATATGTTTTATCGTGCGTTCCTATCTCTCTTTCTCTTATCTGCACTTGAAAAAATAAAAACAGCATTTTCGTGTATTTGTATATATACAATATCTATACAAATATTTGGTGATAATGAATTTTCGGAACAGATTATAGCGTGCGTGACACAGGGATGCCCCAGATACAAACATTAAAAATAAAAGAGAAAATAATCGCTCAGTTATTATTTTTTAATCCTCAAATTCTTTATCTCGAATGGTAAAGCATATAGTTTTTATTTACTGTTCCTGTCTTTGTTATTATTTATTCTTTGATTTTTTGCATCGGCATAATTAAATTAAAATTTTTTTTTTTTTTTTTTTTTGTGAAGAAAGTAAATACGTCGACTTGAAAAAAAGGATGAGTAGTCTATGTTGCAAAACCTTCAACAGCAATGTAATACATTATTGGAAAAACATAATTAGCCGTCGCAAAAAAGAGCACAGGAAATAACAATTAGGCGTAGTGTTTGAATGTATTGAACGTGTATTTCAATGAAATGCAAATGTATTCAAATGCATTGTACATAAAATATTAGGGCAATCACATGTATGTGGTAATGATTATTTATTGTTAATTTGTATCATGTAGCTGTCAACATAAACGTTTTATTAAAAATACTCAACGAATTGTAGCACAATTTATTTCTCATCCAAACGCTTAGGGCGTGTTAAATTTACTCTTTTTTTTTTGTTTCTATTTATTTATTTTACCATGGAAACAAAATTAAAATCATTAAAAATAATATTTTATACGATTAAGGGAACAAATACAAAAACGAGATACACATGAATAGTTGTAAGTTAAATAAATTTATTTTATAATTTACGCTCTGACATGATTCGTGTTAATTTTATCACTAACTAGTTTCGACATTCCCTCGAAAGCTACAAGCATAGCTATACATATTTATTTATTCTTATATATTTTCATATACTCGCAATTCACGTATATAATTTACTCTAATGGACGATTCATGGGATTATGTACAAAGTGGGGCGCGTCATGCACATAAATTGTAAAGGAAAAAAAAAAACAAGATTACATATTCAGTCAAGTCTGCTATAATAATTACTCTTCTCCGTTCTATTATATAAAAATTCTTTGCCTTTTCTCCATTGATTGGAAAAAAAGTTAGCAAGCAGAGAAGTTCGGCCGGTGGTTCTTTTTATTTTATATTTCTTCGCTAAGTCTGTTTTTCCTTTTTTCTGATTTTCTGTTTTTTTGTTTTGTTTTTTTTTTAATTTTTTTTTATTTTATTGCAATAAATACGCGCTACACTCTGATACAGAGTGTATGCATTTTGATTATCTAACGTTGAAAAAAAAGATTTATGTAATACATCAGCGCTGCTGAAAATAATTGTAAAAAACTAAAGTTCGAGTTTTTCAGTACGAAAATTGACAATTCTGAGAGGGTACGGAGAAAAACAAGGGTACGAGAGTCAAGGGACGTTACCATACGTACGAATTTTTTTTTAACCCTGTAAGCCCATTCTCTCGTGTACAATATACAATTTACAATTAACTCGTATACAACTTTACTACCAACACTTTCAAGGTTTACGAAATTTCGTGTACATTCAAGGTTCGCGATCAGAGCTGATAAAAAGTCTTTAGTCTTTTTCTCCGCTTCTGTAGAGAGATAAAGAAAAGGAAAAACAAAGTATCGCACGTTTTTCGCATCAAAGTGCAAAAATTTTTAAATAAATTCTTATCCATCCCCGAGAGCAGTGGAACTCCAAAGAGAGTACATGAAAATGAAAAACTTTTTCACATTTGGCACCAAAATCCACGGCTCTCGTCAAAGTTTTCACTTTATTTCTTGATTCATACTATATTATGAGTAAAATGAATGGGTATAGATGAGGCCTTAAAATTATTATTTTACACACAATATTACGATTATACAAAAATCGGTGGTATGTATGGCTGAAATTTCTTGAAAATTTAATAAACTCGTTTGTTGGGGTCACTTTGTAGCTCACGGAAACAGAATAAGTAAACACAATGTGCGGTTGAAACATAAATTAGTTTGATTATTCTTGAGAAACTGCCAAAATGCGTTTGGTGGATCTTTCGTAACTCGAGAGCGACTCTATTTTCGAGGTGTCGAAAATGCATTGATTTTCCGTACCTACATGCTTACATTAAACTTTCAAGAAATCATGAAACTTATATATTATGATGTACAATTTTAATTTAGATATCGTCGATTACTCGCTAAAAAAAATGATTGTCATCAACGTCGGATACATCGCTACAATTGGACTACAATAAATATATCAATAATCAATATACACCTGCGATATACACTGCGCAAGGATATTTATATTATACTTTTAAACAGTTTTCAAGACGCGACAATCGCCATTCCGTCAATGGAAAAAAAATGGTGAAGGGAGTCCCATTCGCGGCTTTGGCAATTTTACCGTCGATGCTCAAATAAGGAAAAAAAAAAAAAAAAAAATTAATTATTTACAAATCAACATTCAGTAAGGAAGGAAGAAAAAAAAAATCCACTCTATTACGCACGTAATTTTTCTCTCGTTAACTTAATACTTTTCTCTGACTATTATTCTTCACCTCGGGATCCCTACGTCTCTTCTCTATCTCGCGTATATAATATACAATAATAATAATAATAATACATGAGCAGATCATAGAAAAGAAAAAAACCATACAGCGCACTGTACACGCACGCAAAAATCTACGTGATTCAGAGGTACCAAGACGACCGTCACCGCAAAGTATAAAAAAAAAGCTCTCCTCCCGACGAATTCTGTAACCAAACTAAAGATGAGAAAAAAAAAAAAAAAAAAAAACACACGGATGCACGTACATGTGACATTAAACACACGCGATCGCGCTCAAAAAGGGTCCTTGGGGAGAAAATCAGTTGCGGTAATAGAGTCATCAGCTGTATCTTCTCGTAAACAGAGTCACTATACCGGTAACAGGAATACAAGAAGCCGAAGAACGAAAGAAACAAACCAAAAAAAAAAAAAAAAAAAAAAGGGTCGTACGAAAATGATTAGAGGACGCATAGTTTGCTGGCAATGTAGTGTAGGTGCAAAACGGTGCACGCCATCGTCAACATGTTGCCCATGGCGATGGTCATGTGGGTCTTGCGAAAGGCGTTGTGTATCTTGAGGTAGTGCGGGCAGTGCTTGAGGGCGCCCGACTCGTGCCGGCCAATCTCGGCCCCGACACCGGCCGCCCGCTCCAGGCTCGTCTTCACCTCGATCAGCTTCAGGAGCGTCGGCGTCAGGTACAGCCGTATCAGCAGCTCGAGGAAAAACGCCCCACCCATACTTATCACCTGCAACACCGAGAGAGAGAGAGAGAGATTATTTTCATGGGCCAACCATGTACAGCCGATCCATTGTATTGAATTCTAGCGCTGCACGTACCTGGACCGCTATCTCCGAGTCCCAGCTGTGGGCCGGATGGTGCTTGACGTAGATGAGCAGAGTCGTCAGGCTGAGGCAGGCGTTGAGGGTAAAGTAACGCGGAAAGAGGATCCGCTGGACTTCACCGAACGCGTGCCGCGGCAGGGCAAAGTACAAGGACAGACCTGGAACATGCAAAAGGCAGTATAGTAAGATGTCTCCTTATTTATACATCCATTGTGATTTATGAAAAAAAAAAAAAAAAAAAAAAAAGTGCTTACCGGAGACAAAGGTCATCCAGATCTGGGAGCCAAAGTGCACGACGAAGGAGGCCAGGTAAACAAAGGACGTGAGCTGCGAGCGGGGCTGGCCGGCGGCTTGGCTCGTCGTCCTCTCGGAGCCACTCGGGACGAGGGCCGACGTGACGCAGAGCACCGCGGCTATCGTTATCACGTGCGCCGGCTGGGCCGTGCAGAACAAGACTCTATCAACCAAAGGATAAACATCATTATTTTTTTTTTTTTTTTTTCATAGACATTGGATGATTGCGCGACAAGGGGGACACTTGGAAACTGAAATCGTCTTGTCGAAGGGTTAAAAATCGGCGGATCAAAGGAGCAATCACCGGCCGATTGGACGCAGTTGGGAGGGTAAAATTATGAGCCGAGGCGACGAAACGCAAAGGGGCCCAATAATGAGTGCCCAGAGGAATCAGGGACACGCTCGTTGGACGAGGAAGGAGTAGAAAGATCGAACCGGAGAAGCGTGAGTCTTATCGCTCCGCGCGCGTGTGATCAACGCCGCCACGAGTAACATTTATCTCCTGAATTCGCGTGGTTGGCGCATTAAATAAACCATCGAGGGGTCTTTTTCGCTGCCATAATGGTAATCTCATACGCCCACGTGGTCACGTAAAACATCATATGAGTTCGCTGAGTTACATACCGTAATCGGTCGGGCTATCGGGACTTACACGTGACAGTCGGGCGCGACCGCGATACTTTGTGTTTTTAATTTACTTTTCTGTGTGGATTTTTCAACATGATTGCTCGGAAAGCGCGAAAAGCGCTACGAACGCGGAACCGCAGAAAAATCCCAACTCTATACGTATGTCTGTGGGAAACGTGTGCGGTGTACCTACTCGTAAAATCTAAGCCCATGTGACAAACCTACGTAATAAACACGTACGCCAATATTTACTAATCGATTTGTTCGACGATTCGCATGCACGAGAGTCGACGTACTCGGTCGAGGCCGCAATTACGTGGAGAGTATCGGAAGGAAAAATACGTCGGCGCGTAAACTTCAGGTGACACCTGTCCCGGCTTTTAATAGCACCTTCCTCCCCGAGAGACGAATGATCGGTGATGGTTAATGTACGAAAGAGGAGGACTCGTTTGTTCGCCTTCGTCTTTAGAACCGTATATGCCGCAGCCCAAGTATATATGATATGTACCTATACTCTATTGATTAAGGGATCCATCAATCCCCCCCGAGAGTTGTGAATATAATCATAGCTCCTCTTCGCGAGATGGGGAAAAAAGTTTGGTGTACGCGTGCATTGATCTTTATAACGTGCTCGCGGCTTATCTTAATTGAGGCATCTTTATGTCATGCGCGCGGTAAACTAGTTTGTGTTTTTTTCGTCGCGCGTTGACTTACGCATACGATAGATCATATGTGCGCGTGTAAGACTCCGATAGGTCCATCGATTGATGAACAGTTGCGAAAATGACATATTCCTTATTGGTACACGTATATATACATATATGTATAGTTGGGTGTTTACGTGACTTTGATTTGATGGCGAGAGGCAAAAAGGGGATGGGGCGATATCACGTGCATGAATTATGCAGGGAGTCGTTAAATCGAGATATCCAGGGTGCGTTTAGCGGCGCGTTTTAATTTTAGGTGTCTAGTATTTCAGGCGTGCGGCTTTGGAATTAATTGTGAAATATGGATACGGCACAAAAAGAAATCATTTCCTGCTTAAAATCGGTAGCCGATCGGTAGCAGTGCCCGTACATCGGTCGATCTTGGAGACTCGCTGTACCTATATACGTTATATTTTATGCAATACAAATAACATCTGAAAGTGTAAAGAGAGGATATTTTAATACGTCCGTTTGATTGCATTGTGTTGTAAAGTATTACCCTGATTTCCAGTGACGATCATGAGAAATTTCAAATAAAAACTGTTACTTCAAAACAAAAAATTTCTTCTATTCTGATTGGACTAAATTACAGTAGAAAAATTTTAAATAGTTCAAAAAAAGTGTGTTAAACTGCATATAATTGATGTTTACGCATTTTAGAGGCATGTAGAAGATAAAAGAAATTTTTGGCCCGAAGGTGTGCCTCGTAGAAAAAAAGTTTTATTTATTTATTTTTGTAGTTATCTTAATTGTAGTTCGTTATAAAAATGTATTTATACCCAAATCATCCAGATATGTTTTATCGTGCGTTCCTATCTCTCTTTCTCTTATCTGCACTTGAAAAAATAAAAACAGCATTTTCGTGTATTTGTATATATACAATATCTATACAAATATTTGGTGATAATGAATTTTCGGAACAGATTATAGCGTGCGTGACACAGGGATGCCCCAGATACAAACATTAAAAATAAAAGAGAAAATAATCGCTCAGTTATTATTTTTTAATCCTCAAATTCTTTATCTCGAATGGTAAAGCATATAGTTTTTATTTACTGTTCCTGTCTTTGTTATTATTTATTCTTTGATTTTTTGCATCGGCATAATTAAATTAAAATTTTTTAAGAATTATTATGTGCATGGATATTATGTCGAGATATATACCAATAATTTTTACCTCTAAAGTTTTCGCGATTCATAGGTGCTTATTAGGCACAAATCGTTTCCTGGGATACGCGTAACACGCGCATGTAAGTACAGCCTAATTTGAAATATCTACATGCGTGTCTTGTCAATCAAGTGTAATTTAAAATTTGGTGCAATAAGGAAGGGGGGGGGAGATTACACCCAGACCCAAGCCACCACTAAAGATATGGGAAATTGGGTCAATTAAAAAAAAGGGCCATTTGTGTAATTGTTTCGGCGAAAATAACAGAAAACGAAAGATAGTCATGTAAGTTTGAATTAATTTTGTTTTAACAATTGGACCGAAAAAAATAAAATCATCTGGTGTGCCTCAAACACTTGACTCGATTAATCCGAACTTTGCATACATTTTAATGGCCATTTTATTTACTCATGAGATTACTCTCACAAACTTTTTTCGACTCGCAACGGAGATCCTCCCTAAAATCGGAGGACAGCGATTTTTCGATTTTTTTTCGCTCGGCACACGTGTGCTCTGGCAGAGAAAAAAAAAAAAAAAACACGAAAGAGACAATATTACCTGTTGACTCATTGTACGAATGAATAAGCCGATGTACTATGTATATTTTTATGAGAGACGTATGTGGTCCGAGCCAATAAATCAGTTTTTTTTTTTTTTACAGTCACGCTTTTTAAAATACATTTTTGAAGTGCAATCTTGGTCTTACTACCCTTGTACATGCAATTATTTTATAATTATGGTTTAAAGAATTTCCGTTTTTTTTTTTTCTCTTTTCTAACTTTGTGCACATCAATACTAATTTCCGACGTTAAGAGATAATTCAAATGACGGTACATCAAAAAACTCATTGCAGTGAACCAATGTATAGTACAAATATTGTTGCTCAACAATATTCGTTATTACTTTGTTTATTGATCACGCTCGTAACATATTCATTGCACCAACTTAACGATGCATCTGTCTGGCATAAATTATACATCAATTACGATCCATCCATTTGCAAATATACAAACACACGTGTATATGTATATATAGTTACGGAAAAAATCGTAAAGCCGATCGGCGGTGAGTACACAAATGTGAGTAAATAAAATCGGCACGCGTGCAATAAAATTACACTTTCTATGAAAAAAAGTGAGGCAAATACGCTCGCTTTGAGATGGAAATGCAGCTAAGTAGAAAACAGTGTATAGCTCGAAAGAGACCACCTAAGGTATTTGATATAAAATATATACATGTATAGGTACATCATGCGTGCGCTCGTTATGTCAACGGCACTTAATTGAATATAGTAACGAGTATATAATATAAATGCGATTGGCGTACGATTACATCTTTATTTTATCGGTATAGCCCACTTTGAAAGAAAACTTTAAGGTTGAGAAAAAGTCCCCCATGCACAGTGGCAGCGAACAGCTACTTGGTAGACAAAATTATCTCATTTTCTCCGGTGGGGTATAAAAGTTTTAACGAGAGGAAAAATTATAAATGAATACCTTCTTACAGCGAAAACTAATGATTTTCCGTCAACAGGACCACCTGATTGATTGTTATACGAAACAAATCAACAAGGAACAAAATAACAAAAATAATTCAAAATTTCGCCGGGACGACGACAGATACAAAAGTTAAAAAGACCTCGCATCCCCCGCAGCGAGAGCCCGACGGGATCAAATTTCGAGTCATCGAGATAATCCCGAATCCCTGCGCGTTCCCTTCTCCGATCATCTCGACTTTGAAATGCAATTGTACACTGCTACCTGGCACACCTAAAGAGGTTTTTCATTACCACAAGTTAAAAGATGGCCGATAACGATGCCATTATTTATTCCCAAACCAGCTCAATGACCAAGCAACCAAACATTCCCCGAACGGCTCGACCAAATTTATATACCTGTCCTGCCTATCCAAGCACTACACGCAGTCCTAAACAACTTTCTCTGCGAACGCGGAGGGTCGTTATAGTACAGGGTCAAGCCTCCTCTTTCTCTCACATGGGTAGTCACAAAAAAAAAAAAAGGCCCCGAGAGCATTTGAAAAACGGAGACCTCCCCGGGACGTGTTTATTCGTGCACGCAGAGAGACGGAGGGGACCCAAAAAAGGGGGAGTATATAGTTTTGTAGGTCCGACTCGGTAGCCGAGGGAGAGGAGGATGCGCTACCGCGCGGGGAATATAAATATAATAAGCGTGGTGGTCCTTTCATTTTCGAGCACGGGGGATCCGCCCTTTATTTCTCTCCCTATTATACCTTTGCTGTATTATCTCCTCTGGTTCGTATTGTTTAGTGCCACTGCGCACGCGACTCTCCAAACTATATGTATATATACATATATGTACCTTATATTTTGTACGGTGTGCGCGTATCGGTATACATATATTTCGCGGAAAGAGATGCTACAGTATATACAACTTCATTAAGGGGAAGAGCGAGTCACGCGGATGGGGGTGGCGTTTTTTCATTTCTGGAATGACGTATGGGAATCACGATTGCCATGGCGTTTCTACATTACTTTGAATGAATAAATCGTGTGTACAGTTTGATGATGTGTGCCTTACCACTTGTAATGTATAAGGAAGGAAAAGAGGAATTATTACGTGTAGGTACATGATTGTAAAAAAAATATATATGTACAGCAAAGATACTCGTACTCTTATCAAG